CATTGCAAAATAACTAAAAAAATAAAAATTAAGTGCGATCTTCAATTACCTTGCTGTACAAATTGGTGTAAAAAAATTTAAGTACATTCTTTAAAGGATTCGCTTGTCAATTTGCAAAACTTAGAGTAAAAATTGGTAGAATTTGTGAAAAAAATGAAGAATTTTAAGTTTGGTAGTAGTTTGTGAAACAAGGGAGGAAATAAATCGAGAAACAACTTTTATAAAAAATAAAAAACAGCCGTTATATGGGGCCGAAGCTCGAAAAACTGGTCGGAATATTGGCCGGGTGGTAAAACCTACATTTTTGTAAAATATGGGTGGTCATTTTTAATTTAAAACAAAAAAAGGGGTCGTTATTTCAATACATGGTATATTTTGGGGTAGTAATTTACAAAAAATCCTAAAATAAATTACCATATTAAATCAACATATACATGTACGTCATACAAAGTAAGTCCATGCAGCCCGATATATCATACTAAGGGCTTGTTTGGTTTACCTTATTTTTGTTTATCTGAACTTATCTGATCTGATCTGAATGTCAGATTTGACCAAAATTTGACCTTAAATATACGATAATTTATACGAAAAAATATATCAAGTGGGGTCGTGTTAGATTCGTAATAATGTGTATTTTATTAATATGTGATTTTCATAATTTTTTCATTAAGAAATTAAAGATATTTATCGATAAAAACTTGCACATAAAACGATGATCGATCTGATTTGAACTTATTTTTTGTGATCTGAACTTTTTTTTTTTTTTTGAAGAAATGATCTGAACTTATTTAGTCTAGTCTGATCTGAACCTTTTTTTTGTTTTTTTTTTTTCTGAAATAAGTAAATATAATTTAAGGTGAACTAAATAAGTACTTCATATATTTTTTTGTCCTATTTAAGTGATCCAATATCAAGTATACATGTCTGGTTTTTTTCCTTTTAATTCATGAACTTAGAATCATACCTTAAGGCACAACATGCCATAAAAATAAAAAATAAAGGCATGCCAGGTTTTTTTAAATTTTATTTTTATATTAAAAAATTATATACAACAATTCATCCAATTCTTTGATCAATCATCTCATCAATGCTAGAGAAGAAAGCACTAGAGTAGTGTGTAATAAATTGTAATTGCAGTAAGCAAATAAGCAATCACCATTACATGCCTACAGGGCATTATTTATACTACGGATTTTTCACCAAATACCACTGAGTTAAAGCTTAATTCACAATATACCATAGAAAACTTTCTAATACACCGTATAACCTTCACTTTAACTAAAATGTCACAACATGCCATTAATGACTAACGGACGTTAACACCGTTAGTCATTAAGGCTAATAAGGCCACGTGGCAACATATCATTGGTTCCCTTTTAAATTACTTAATTTTAAAATAATTATATAATTTTAATTAAAAAAAATAAAAAAAAAAAGAAAAAGAAAAAAACCCAGCCACCCACGTCCCTCCAGCCAGCCACCACCGTCCCTCCAGCCACCCACGTCCCTCCACCCAGCCAGCCACCACCGGTCGGCGAAAAACTCGACCATAACCCTTGCGCTGGCGCCGAATTCCGACCACAACCCCCGCACTGACCTGAAATTCGACGAGAATACCCCCATCGGGCCGCCCTACTCCTTTTCTCTTGAACCACCGGCGAAATCCTAGAAGAACAATCGAACCACCGGTCGCAAAACAACCCATCTCCCTCGAAGAACCCTTCGCTAACCACGGAACCACCGGTCAGCGCCCAAACCACCCTCCCCCGCGCCGACGAATCAATTTCGCCCCTATTGGTGCCATTTCCATCCCGTATGTCAAAATCCTAAAACCAAAATCTAGGGTTTCGATTTTGGTGTTTTAGGGTTTTGGAGTGGTGGTTTTCGGCAAGTTGGGCGGCGGCGACGTGTGGGAGTGGATTTAGGCTGCCGCGCAAAGGTGGTGGCTGGAGATTTCGGGAAGGAAAGGGGAATTCGTAGGTGGTGCTTGGGAATTCGAGAGGGATAGGGGAACTCGCAGGTGGTGGTTGGGAATTCTGGAGGGAAAGGTGGCTGGGGTCGGGAATTTCACCGGCGGGGAGGGGGGACGATCGCCGGCTAGCTGGGGGTAGGGTCAGGGCTAGGCTGGTGGCGGTGGTGGCTAAGGTAGTGGTGTTTTTTTTTTAAAAAAATTTAAAATAATTTCTCTAAAGTTAGTTAATTAAATAAAGAATATTAATAAGAACCAATTATAAGCTGCCATGTGGCACAATTAACGTTAATGACTAACTGAGTTAACGGAAAGGGCAAGTTGTGACATTTTCGTAAAACTGAAGGTTATATGGTGTATTAGAAAGTTTTCTATGGTATATGGTGAATTAAGCTTTAACTCAGTGGTATATGGTGAAAAATCCGTTTATACTATCTACGTCAAATGTCGGAAATTTTGTGAAAAACTGCCTATTATAGTTCTGAATTTGCGAGAAACTACCTATTTAAAAAAATGTTGTAATTGACTACCTAATTTTTTAAAAATGTTGTAATTTACTACCTTACGCCAGATTATGAAGGAGTTTGACCAAAATTCTTCGACATTGACTTGGTCACGTGACCATCACGTGACACTTAATGACCCTTTTCTTTCTCACAATTTTCCACGTGATGGTCACTAAGTGTCACATGACCAAGTCAGCGTCAGAAAATTTTGGTCAAACTTCATAATCCGGCGTAAGGTAGTAAATTACAACATTTTTCAAAAGTTAGGTAGTCAATTACAACATTTTTTATAATAGATATTTTCTCGCAAATTCTGGACTATAATAGGTAGTTTTTCACAAAATTTCCTTAAATGTTATATGTTATGTGCAACTTTGCAATATTTTATATCTCACAAATAATACCCCAAACTTGCATATAACATTTAAGAATATATATATCACCTTATTATAGATGATGATAATTAACTTTATTATATGAATGTGGAAATAATTTTAATTTTAAGATAAAATCATTATACAAATTGAGCAACAAGTCAAAAAAAGATTGTGTTTGTTGGCATCATACCTTTCATAAAGACACAAAAAAGACTATTAACTAATAAGATTAGTTGCCAAATTGTTTACTTATTTTAACATTTAGTAAAGAATTTCTTTAATGGATTAACAACTAGGCTGCTCAAAACTTTGTTTTGTAGGCGATTGTTTTTCTGTATTCAAACCTATTATTGTAGAATTTAGAAAAATATAAAGTGAGCGGTCCAAATGGGTCACTAAATTCTGCGGTCAATAGTATTACTTCTTCATTCGTATATACATTAATGGACAAAAGACATGCATTGTAAATTTATTATACCAATAGGCTATATTAGTAAACGTATACCGACACAAATATTAACATCAATATATACATGATTTCAAACCAATTTTATGACGTTTCAATGACTTGTATACATAACATGTTAAAACATGCCCGTCAAATGAAAAATTAAATTAGAATAAGAAACATGTTATTCGAAGGTTGGACATTGTCATATCTATCTAGATCAGAAGATATAGCAAGTAATAGACTGGCTTCGACATTGTGTTGTAACGTATGTTGAAAAGTTTTGCTATAGAACAAAACAATCATGCATAATTTTACGTGGTTTGCTTACTAACAATGTGTGAGTCCACATTCACAATTGGCGAGACTAAGTTTATACAGATGTTGAAGATAATACATACAGTATTACAGAGTGATGTAGATTCATAACACGAGAAATTTATATAGTACTCCTAAAAAGATATACTCCGTAGAATAAACCTCATTATAGTCCCAAAACAGAAAATGTAGCCCACATAACTATTGCCCCTAAACTCCGAGTCCACGTAACTGTTGCCCCTAGACTCTGAGTCTCCGACTCATTGACAGGTAGCGAAACCCTATATTGGTTGGTCATCGAGGACTTGAGGTATGACGGATTCAAAGCTTATTGATTTTTATTAGAACATATTTTGGACTTTAAAGTGTTTTTTAAGGTGTGTTCTCTCCACTGAAGTTATAGATCGGGTTAATCTTGATTTTCATGTCACATGTGCATCTAATTAGACTTGATTAGTCCTAATTAACCTTGATTAAACCTAATTTGTATAAAACTTAGCTTACTATCTTAATTTATATGGTGAATAGTATACACCCTCTGTTCACATTCGTAACATGTTCCCCTCAATAGGAAACTTCTTATACGAAGTATATATTCTATATATTTGACGTTTCAATACTTAGTCAGTTATTATGTATAAGATGTTAAAAAACTTAAAAGATGCCGCGTTAAAGAAAGAAAAAAGAACATGTTATAGATAGGAGTCATAGTAAGCTGGATTAGATCAATGATAACGTCGATAATACTATTTCATCGACAGAAATTTCTCAGTCCACTGTTTGACAGCAGGAGAATTTTCTCGTCTATGTTTATTCTAAAAGAACGAATAGTTTGTACTTTTTTCACAATTGCTGAAGTCTAAACGCAACACCAAGTTAGGAGACATAAAACGTTGACATTAATAGCTTCCATTTTGTCTTTACCATATGTATCATCCTTCCACCTTCGTGGACCTCGGCTAGTTTAATTGATAAAATATTGAGTGGTCATGATATGTGCATGATCATTTCGTAATCAATATTACATACAAATATACAACCGGTCACAACCTGTCCCTCATCATCTGGTCAATCAAGCCCTTCTTAAATGTGTTAACTAAGCTGTGTAACAGCATAACTCAGAATTATTGTCTTTTATGGTTCTCTACACAAATAAATATATATATTTCAAAAGAAAAAGGACATATAAATCAATTAATTACTTGATACCAATTGCAAAAATAGACCTCCAAGTAAAATTAAATAAAAATTATATTAATATATTAGAGGATGAAATTAGGTTACCAAATAAGAGATAAGTTTGATACAAGAATTAGTATACTAGTTATAGTAGCTAACAAGTGCTTTCGTTGAAAGGACATCATTACCGTCATTTTTCCTCCTTTCCAATTTCAAAGTCTCTCTTCTTCTAATAAAACTATGACTTAATGAAACAACTTTTTTTGTCCCATTTAATTTCTTTCCTAAGTAAGAATTTTAGGCTTATTTTGTTGAAAAAAAAATGTCTAACATCAAATATCATATCAAATTTTCTTCTAAGTCCAAAGAGGCTCCCAAACTGAGCTTAACGTGTTGTTATCATCGTAGAAATTCAAGAAACTGTTATTATTAGGGCTCGTCTCGTACGGGTCTTGTGGTGGCGACGATGAGGACGTAGTGTTAGGCATGACAACATCTTGAGAGTGTGTCATTTCCATGCAAATAAAGGCTAGTAAATTAGCTTGTTGACATTGCATGTTCACAACTTCTGCCTTAGCCTTTGCTAGTTCTGCTTGTAACTCACTAACTTGTTTCTGAAGCTGGCATATTGCTCCGGCACATCCGTAGACCGGATCACGAAGCCGAGCATTCGCCTCGTAGACCATACTGCTTACTGCATCGGCTCGTTGAGATTCTGGAAGATCCTGATGAACAATTCACACATAAATAACATATTAGTCAAATGTCATATGATGTATAATATATGATCCTAAGTATATGGATGCATTTATAACATATCATAGAAAGTACCCTATCTTTCTGAATAGTGTTTCATCTAACTATTATAGAGACAATAATATATGGTACAGTCAAAATCCTTTCCCCACCTAGAGAAAAAGGTCAATTTAAGCCCAGTTTTTTGTCCCTCAACTTGGTGAATATTTGTAACTTATTGCATAATCTAGTTAGAATTACCTTGAAATTATACATGAATGAAATTATTGCAAAAGTTAAAATATTTGTGATAGTAAGACACTAATGATAAAATGCACATCCAATCGTTTTCTCCTTTATCGTCTAATTAAAGAAGTTCCAAACCTCATTTCTTAAGATAAAAAGTACTCGTTTATCAACAATAATTCAAATCCATGCATATATATATTACCGTCCCACTTTAACCCCGATTTTCAAAATTACAACTTTTAAGATAGATTATAAAAATTGATTTTTATATCTGTGTAATGCTAAAATAATGTACAGAGAACATAAATAAATAATAATAATACATATAAATATGAAATTAAATGACAGGTTTAATTTACATTAGAATATTAAGTATAAAGTATAAGTATATTATGCAATTAGATAACTACAAATAGAGCTATTTTTTAAAATTACAACCGTGTAATGGTGACTTTAGTAGTATGAAATAATTTTGTGTTCATACAAAATAACAAGGTCTAAAACTATAAATATGAAATGCATCAAGTTTTGGGTGCTACAAATTAATGTGAAAATGCAAGTGTGCAACTATTGGTGCCCGCGCATGTCCTCAAAAAAAAAAAAAAAAAAAAAAAATGTCCTCAAAAAACTATTGGTGCCCGCGCATATAAGGACAATGTACTTTTATGGATCGTGGTTGTAAATGCTTGGACAATATGTATGGTTAATTGACCCACATAATTTATAATAGTGTTACATTTATTTATTTTCATTTTTTTTTAGTATATAGTTTATCCTGATTAAAGTGATAGGACGAGTTGACCATTTTGCATGATGAAATTAACACTTGATAGCGCTTAGTGGGTTATGTGTTCCCTTGTCATTGGTCCCAAATCCTCCTCGTTTAGTGTGAAAATTGAGTTTTTTTTATTTGTAATCAATTATTTCTTTGAGATTGACATATTATTGATCAAAGAAAATTTGATAAATATATGTTAACCAATAGAATTTTAACCCGCTTTATCATTAATCATGCTTTTTTATGCATGTTTTGATTGGTAAAAGTATGTAATTTTGACTTTGTGATTTTGCTTTAAAAAAGAAAAGTGAATTTCATTATCATAATTTCATGTATAAATATGACTTTATAAATTTGATCATATGATTTTATTAGTCAAGGATTACCAACCTAGGACCTTGTATTATACCAAATGGTACTTTACTTTTTGAATTAATAATGTGTGGTAACTATCAAAATTTGAAAGTATGCTACAAATTTTATCTAAAATAGTTAATATATAGCTCCCTAGCTTAGGGGTTCAGGTTTATAGCTAATACTTGATCAATAAATTAATTATTTATTTCCTTTATCCAAAAATTAGTACTTTGTTTTTGTCTAATTAAGCTTTTTTTTTCTACTTCTTGGTAAAATTGTAAAGGATTTACCACCTCCGTTACATATTATTTGCAACGATTTGACATAAAGTAGAGAGGAAAAATGTCTAATCGTTACAAATAATATGTAACGGAGGTAGTATTAACTTTCTATTATCTTATCCTAAAATAATCGATATTGCTATCATTTTTATTTATCAAAGGTTGACAGGCATGGAACGCATTTTCGTTCATATAACTTGTTGGCCTCATTATTGACAAATATGTGAATTTACTTTTGATGGCATGGCAAATAATGTTACATATTGTAATACGAAGTACTAGCAAAATTAATTATACAGTATTTCATTGAGTTTAACTCATTTCTTTTACAGTAGATATTTGTTAGAGTGAACCAACATTAAAAAAAAAAAAAAAAAAAAAAAAAAAAAAAAAAAAAAAAAAAATATGCATATGCCGGGATGCTTTAGAGTGTACCAACTCTTAAAAAAAAAGCAAAGGAAGGATATGATACAATTTTAGTAAGACAAATGGGGTGTTTAGTTACAAACATTAACAACCAACATGTGTTTTTGAAGATTGAACATGTAAAAGTTTTGGTTCTTCTTTACAATTTCCTTTGTAGAACCTTCTGTCAATGGCAGTGACTTGACTTACATGCCCTAATGACTGTGCTAACGTATTCTCCACCATTGTCGAGTAGACTACATATTATAATTGACTTTGTATTAATTTCAAGAAACGAGTTTGACTCTATTATTTTTTATAAGTATTTAATTGTTATTTTATCAATAAAAACATTTTACTAGTTATTACAATATAACTTTTTACAACAACAATAATAATAATTATAATAACAATAACAATAACAATGTATGTGTTCTAGCTGTGTACGGCTAGTTACATTATGTCATTATGTGACCGCTTGTAAATTTAAAAAGTAATCCTTATAATAGTAACCGAGTAACCCGTGTAATACTAACTGAGTAACGTCTTATATCACTAATGAAGTAATTACCCCTTCAAAACTGACCGAGTAACCCCTATAACACTAACGAAGTAGCTCCTATAATGGATGACCAAACCACTAACCACATGATGTGGCCAATGATATGGTCAGCCACATAAGAATTTGTGTAATAATAATAATAACAATACACGGTATAATTTATTAATTATTATAAAAATGGAGGGATTAAAAATTATACAAATGAAAACGAAATTTGCTGAAGCCATCTACGAAGTATATAACATCACGTTATAAAGATTAAGGATATAGAATGTATACCTGGAGCAACTTGATGATATTGCTAGCACCAAAGACCTTATGAGCAATAGTAAACTTGAGGGGATCAGTAGGAGGAAAGTAAGGAGCCAACACACATTTATCAGCACAACGACGTCGAAGGATCTTACAAGCCGCACACGGGCTCATTATAACCGGCGGACTACCAGAACTTGTCTGGTGTCCGTGGCCACAAGAAGGAGGAGAGTTTGGAGACTGGGGGGAGCACGGCGATGCTCCCCCTCCTACAGGTGATGACATTACAATATCGCTAGTGCTACCTTCCATTATTATTATTTTTAGAGAAAAAGAAAATGAAGAGAGGATGAAGTTGTGTTGGTTTGCTGGTGTGAATTGTGAAATGAGAATATTTTGGTTAGCAAAGTACATGAAGTGATGTACATATATATAGTCATTATGTGTATGAAGAAAAATTAAGGAATAGCCCGGGAAGAAAGTTTTTTGGTCAGGATTACGTAAGCTAAGTCTTGGATGCGTCATCTAGTATTTAATTTGCCCAATTTTTTGGGTTTACGTGGCCTTTGGGTGGTGGTCTTTTTCCAAGTAGAGAAGTGTCTGGCTAATGGTAGTTTTGGGTTTTCACATATCTTTTTTTTTCAAATAAAGGGTATGGAAATTAGAAATTTGGTAGACTTTTGGAATTTATAAGTCTATCCTACACCGTTTTTCTTTATTCTAGAAATCTAGAACAATAACCTTTGGTTTAGTAGCATGAAACTATTTCGAGTCAATATTAGTACTTCGAGTTCAAAATTCTTAAACAATATTATTCCTCTTATCCAAATTATAAGTTTAGAATTTTATTTATTCGATTTTTTTTTTTTTTTTTTTTTTGGAAACAATAAGTTTAGAATTTCAGATCTCTCTTTTTTTCGACAAATTAAGATTTCAGATCTCTTGATTTCTTTGAAAAACAACAATCAACTTAAGGACCGGGAACTGTTGCATAAAAACTCTAGTTAAATGTACTGTACGTGGAGCTCAAAGAGTGGAGGGGTTTTGAACTTTTATCATGCAAAAAAAAAAAAAAAAAAAAAAAAAAAAAAAAAAAAAAAAAAAACTCGGTTTTTTTAGTTGACATCTTTCTATTATCACGTATGCCAATGCACATTTTTAACGATTAATATCTCTCATTATGAACATTATAAGTAGGGGTGAAAGTGAATCGGTGTAAAACCGAACCGAATCGAAAAACCGAACCGAATAAGGAATGTGGTTCGGTTTTTTGGGAGGGTGGTTCGGTTTCGGTGTCAAAAATAAAAAAAATTCGGTTTTCGGTTCGGTTTCGGTTCGGGAAATTGAAAAACCGAACAAAACCGAACCAAACCGAATTATAAGCCCAATCCTAAAAACCCCTGCCTGGCCCAAAACTAAATACCCTAGGTATATAATGAAAAATAAAAAAAACCCTAATTCCTCTAATCCTCTCAGCCTTTCTCCACTCTTTCTTCCCCTCTCCTGTCTGACTGTCTCCTCTGAGACTCTGAGTCTCCGACCACCGTCCAGTACACCAGGGCACCAGGCGACTAGAATTTGCGATCCAGGGCACCTACGGTCCACCTGCTTCTCTCTCTTCTGTCTTCTCCTACTAATTAAGGTATGAAATATGCAATTTGCGAATTCAATTTGCGATTTTAATCGTTGCGATTTTACTTGCTCTCTCCTGTCTAATCGTTGCTACTGCGTGTTCAATTGTGAATTGCGATTTTAATTTGCGATTTAGGGTAATGGCAAATTTCTGAGCAAGATGATGAATTTTGTTGATTAAGATGGTTAGACTTTAGACGAATTAGATAAATTTAGGTTGGAAAAATTCCTTCTTGTTGGTTGGAAAAATCGGTAGATTGATGAAATTGGTGCTATAATTGTTCTGTTGCTGTTGAAATTGCTAGAATGATGAACTTTGGTGTTGTAATTATTCGGTTCACTTTATACTAGTTCAGTTGCATTCGAAAAATCAAAAAGCTCGAATAATCGATAAAAGCTCGAATAATCTTTGTTTCTATCTTAGTTCAGTTGCTGTTGAACATTCAAAAAGCTCGAAAAATCAATAAAAACTTGAATTGCTGTTGGAATTTGGTTATACAGTCTTGGAATTTGGTTATGATCATTATACAGTCTTGGAATTTTGATTTGGTCATAACTTAAAGCTTACTGATGAGTGGTGATGAACAACCCAAGGTATTAATATAGGAAATTAATACAGCGTTGCGTTTGAAATAGATCTAATCAGGCGATAACAATTACCGAGTACAAAGCATATAACACTTGCCAATTCTCCTTGATAATGCTTTGCTATTACTCTGCTGTTGTGCTACTGCTTTGCTATTACTCTGCTTTGCTATTACTCTGCTAGACTGCTATTGCATGTTCATCCTCTTCCTTTATTAACTTTCTGCTCTTATGTTGCTGTTTTTTATGTCCTAGGCCAATGGCAACCAATGTGGGTGTCAATGACCACCCTGAACAATCTGAACCTGAGACTGACCAATCAGACTGTAACAAAAAAGAAGAAGGTGTAAAAAGGAAGAGGATGAAAGAGCGGTCTGAAGTTTGGGAGCATTTTGTGAAAGAAGACTTACCTTCTGGAAGGCAGGCAACTTGCAAGTATTGTGGGATGAGCTACAAGTGCGGGGCAAAGAAAAACGGCACTAGTGTGTTATGGGCTCATATTAACCGTTGTCGTAAGTATCCCTATAACACCCCTAAAGATTCAAAACAAAGTTTGCTTTCATTCAAAAGTGCTAAAGTAACAAGTACTGCTGGTGGTACTAGTGGGTTGACATACCACAAATTTGATGCTGGTTGTATTAGAAAAGCTTTGTCGTATATGGTAATTGTTGATGAACTTCCATATAAGTTTGTTGAAGGTGTAGGTTTTAGACACTTTTGTGGTGTAATGGAACCTAGATTTAATGTTCCTTCTCGAATTACAGTAGCAAAAGATTGTTTTGAAACTTATTTAACTGAGAAAAGAAAGCTGAAAAATCAATTAAAGAAATGTAATTCAAGAGTTTCTTTAACCACTGATACTTGGACCTCTATACAACAAATCAATTACATGTGTTTGACTGTCCACTTCATTGATAATGACTGGAAATTACACAAAAGAATTCTGAATTTTTGTCCTATTTCTAGTCATAGGGGTGATGATATTGGCAAAGAAATTGAAAAATGTTTGCTTGATTGGGGGCTTGAAAAAGTCATGTGTATAACTGTTGATAATGCTAGCTCAAATGATACTGCAATTGGGTATTTGAGAAGGAAAATGAATGGATGGAAAACTGGGGTTCTTAAGGGTCGTTTCATTCACATGCGTTGTGTTGCACACATTGTCAACTTGGTTGTTTCTGATGGGTTGAAAACTGTTAATGAGTCTATTCAACGTGTAAGGCATGCTGTTACGTTTATAAAACAATCTCCTGCTAGGTTGCAAAGGTTTAAAAAATGTGTTGTAGATGAAAAAATCAACACTAAAAAGGGATTGTGCCTCGATGTGCCCACTAGGTGGAACTCCACCTATTTGATGTTATCTGCTGCTATTGAACTTGAGGATGCTTTTGAGAGGTATTCTGAGGAAGACCCTCACTATTTACTTGATTTGAGTGAGAGGGATGGTAAGGGCAGCCCTGATGCTGATGACTAGAACAATGTGAGAAGATTTTCTGAATTTCTGCAAGCTTTTTATGATTTGACCATGCATATCTCTGGCTCTTTATATGTCACTTCGAATCTGTTTTTTCATGAATTGGTGAGTGTTAGTATACTTTTGAATGATTTGGTGTCAAGTGATGATCCGGATATGTGTCTTATGGCTTGTAGAATGAAAGATAAATATGAAAAGTATTGGGGTGATCCAGAAAAAATAAACCTCTTGATTTTTATTGCCGTTGTCCTTGATCCTCGTTATAAACTTGATTATGTTGAGTGGATGATAAATGAAATCTATAATTCTATTGTTGCATCAAAGTTGGTTAAAAATGTGAAAGAAGCTATGAATGCTTTATATGAGGATTATTGTGTTTCTTCATATGGTGATGGGAATAAGGTGGAAACGGCTTCAAGTAGTGATGATAAAATTCCAATGTCTCCCAAACATAAGAAGATAGAGGTCTTGAAGAATAAGTATAAGAAACACAAATGTGAGAGAGATGGAGATGCAAAAATAGAATTAGACAAATATTTGGAGGAGGATACGGCTGAAGATGTGGATGATTTTGACATTTTGAGCTGGTGGAAGTTCAATAGTTCAAGGTTTCCTACTGTTGCTAAAATTGCACGAGATGTTCTTGCTGTCCCTGTGTCGACAGTAGCTTCCGAGAGTGCTTTCAGCACTGGAGGCAGAGTTCTAGATCAGTTTAGGAGTTCATTAACTCCTCGAGTTGTGGAAGGTTTAGTATGTGCTCAAAATTGGTTACGTGCTGCACCATTCCCAAGTATTGAAGAGTGTTTAGAGGAAGTTGAGCATCTTGAAGAAGGTAAAATATAAGAACATTTAATCAAAGTTAATTATTTTTCATTATGTATATATATTTATTTTGGTTTCTTATCTTGTGAATATTATTGAATTATGATAGAAATGAAGAATATGGCAATTGGTGATGCTAAAATTGATGAAGTGGTCGAAATACTTGAGTGATTGCTCTGTGCTGCTACTGCTGTGTTGATCTGCTGCCACTGCTGTGTTGATCTGCTGCTACTGGCCTACTGTGTTGCTGTTCTGCTGGCTGCTGCTACTGTTCTGCTGTTCTGTTGCTACTGTTCTGCTGTTCTGTTGCTACTGCTTTGCTGCCTGCTGGATCGATCTGTTCTGCTGGCTGCTGCTATTGTTCTGCTGGCTGTGATGTTGTTGAATGTTGATCATGTTATGTTTAACTTAAGTAGTTCTGTTAAAACTTGTTTAATTTGAGTTTGTATGGATTGATTGGTTTGATTTGATACTTTGTTAGTTTGTTATTTAAACTGAAAACTTAAGTTTGTATGATTTGGATTGGTTTGTAGACTTTGTACTTTGTATGAATTGGACTAAATTTGTTTGCTGTTATTTTGTTAATTTGCACTGCTTGCTGTGTTAGTGAGAATAGTGACTTAGTTTGTTGATTAATGAGGCCCAATTTGCAGATTATTGGCCCAAATAAAAGAGGCCCAAAAAAATCGGTTTGGTTCGGTTTTTTATTCTGAAACCGAAATAAATATGGTTCGGTTTGGTTCGGTTTCTAAAGTAAAGTGGTGCGGTGTGGTTTCTAAAATCAAGAAACCGAATTAAGGTGGTTCGGTTTCGGTTTGGGCCAAAAACCAAACCGAACACCGAACTTTCACCCCTATAACGGAGAGAGTACTTCCCAGCTCTTACTATGATTCACCCTTTTATCTGAAATGGTTCAAAATATAGAATTAAAGTTGGTATTAGGCATAATATAATACACAAATTTGATAAAGGATGTTTATTACAAGATTCTAGCAAAATGAGCACTTCTAATATAACAAACTAGAAGAAGAGTTTTAATCACTCTTTTTTTTTTTTTTAATTAAATTTGTTAGTTACAAATGTTCTTAGTTTTTTTCATTTGGCATACTACCTCCGTTTCTTATTATATATAACAAAGGGGTATTATTTGTGAAACATAAAAATATTCCTTTGTTGTACATAATAAGAAACGAAGGTAGTATATTTACTTTGTTACTTTATTTAATTTTACTAATTTAGGAATTCTTTGAAGGTTATTTCTAGTTTATATTTAATATTTCTAGGATATATTAGGATTGACCTTGACTCACTATAGGCCTTACATTTCTTATGCAGTTCAAAGTCTAATTAAGTCCTTTAATTCAGCAACTTAGGGTTTAATACCAAGAAGCTTTAAAGTTTAAACTGTGCATTAAGATACATTGCTAGTATAATTGGTCAGGGAACCCTTATACCAGGGGCGAAGCCAGGTTTTTAAACTTAAGGGGGCCGAAATTTATACTTTGTATTATTTAATAGTATTGTATTATTAATTATTATTTCATTGCATTATTTATGGTTGTGCACTATTATAACTTTATAATTAAGTTACCTTTGATCGTATTTTTACTAATCCCTTTATATATTTTTTGAGTTGGAAAAACTAATTATATGAAAGATGTTAGGATCAAAAGAAATATAGGGAAAACTAATGAATCAAAGAAATGTGTGTATAAAAAAAGGTGCAAAAAGAAATAAGTAGGATCAAAAGAAATATAGGGGAAACTAATGAATCAAAGAAAGGTATAAAAAAATGTGCAAAAAGAAGTAAGTAGGAGGAATCGAACTTAGGGCCACTGCAGTAAAATGAAAATCTCACAAAGTCCACAACCACTGAACTACGACTAACAACAACAATACTTTGTTCACATTTAATTTGAATACTAATATTGTAAGGGGGGCCAGCTCTGACAATTATGGAAATTGGCGTTTAGGCCACGGGGGCCGGGCCTCCACCAGCCCCCCTGGTGGCTCCGCCCCTGCCTTATACAGTTATACATGTTGCACCTCAAATTACTCTAACAACAAGCATATTACTTAGATGATCTAGCCGGGGCCTCTTGCCCAAATTAAATACCTAGAGATTATATTTGTTACTACTTCTATCCCCAAATGTTTGCCACAAACCAAAAATCACTTTA